GCGTGACTCACGGCAGCCGGGGCGGGCTGGGAGAAGGCGTGCATTTGTCACGGCGACCTTTCGCAGCGGAGCAAGGGGATTGCGGGCAGCAGGCGCTGAGCTCAATCACAGGGCTCGAGCCCTGCTTTCTCTCACTTTAATTTCCGCCTTAGCGAGGGCGAGCACCTCTCTCACCTTTTGCAAATAGTTTCCGAGCGTTTGCCAGGTTGCAAGTGCTTATTTTCCACCGGGGCAATAGGTGGTATTTTCTTGTGCTATATGGGACTATGCGTTTCATAGATACATAATACCACGCGTGTCAGTTTTACACAAAGGAGGTCTCTACCTATCCATGGAGAGAAGCCGGCACATTTGAATTATGAGCGACTATCCCTCCAGAGGGGAAGTAAAAATCTCCTCAGAGTACTACTAAAAAAAAGCACATAGTTTTTAAACAATTATTATTCTGGGAAGTCCTGAGTCGTAATTTTTAAATGACCGTGCTTGACAGCACATTCAGCAGCTGCTTGAGCAACTTGCTGGATAAACAAGAAAACGAGCTCGTCAGGTAGCCACAAGAGCACATCTGAGGCAAATATTTGTTTAGATAAGTATTCGCAAAATTTTTGCTTCCTGCAGGAGTCCCTGTAAACAAAACACAGCTCACCTGAACGTAACGAACTCGGAGCGGTACGGACGCCAGAAAACCAGACGGGCAGCTTGCGGCTGGAAGCCTTCTGGCAGCCCTCGCGTCCCGCTAGCTGTCAGGTCTCCCGGGAGCCCCGGCTGCGAGCAGGTATTTCAGCAACACTTAAATCGTGGCAAGTAGGGCACTGCTTACCAGCAGCAGATTCAGGCAACGCGTTGCATAAGTTGCTCCACCAGCAGCCTGCGCAAACGGCAGAGTCGGCGGCGCTGGGGCAAGCGAGCGCGTTCAACAGCACGACGTCGCGGGCAGGTTCCAGTACATCCGAGAAAACTGGTGGGGAGGCTGGAGGGGCAGCAGGGTCCTGCGCTAAGGCTCGCGCGGGGACCCCCTGGCCCAGCCTGCCCTGCCCTG